CAGTTCAGTTTAGTCATTCAGTTGTGTCCGACTCTTTGTGACCCTATGAACTGCAGCTTGTCAGGGCTTGCTGTCCATCACCAACTCCTGGAGTTTACTCAAACTCATGTCAATTCAGTTGGTGATGTCATCCAACCATCTCATCCTCTGTCATCCCCTTCTCCTTCCGCCTTCAATCTTTCCCAGCATCAGGGTCTTTTCAAATGAGTCAGTTATTTGCTTCAGGTGGCCAAAGTATTAGAGTTTCGGCTTCAGCATCAGTCCTTCCAATGAATATTCAGGACTGATTTCCTTTAGGATGGACTGGTTGGATCCCTTTGCAGTCCAAGGGACTTTCAAGAGTCGTCTCCAACACCACAGTTCAAAAGCATCAATACTTTGATGCTCAGTCTTCTTTATGGTCCAACTCTCACATCCATACATGACCACTGGAAAAACCATAGCCTTGACTAGATGGACCTTTGTTGACAAAGTAATGTCTCTGTTTTTTAATATGCTGTCTAGGTTGGTCATAATTTTTTTTCCAAGAAGCAAGCGTCTTTTAATTTCATGGCTGAAGTCACCATCTGCAGTGATTTTGGAGCCCCCCCAAAATAAAGTTTGTCACTGTTTCTGTTGTTTCCCCATCTATTGGCCATGAAGTGATGGGAACAAATGCCATGATCTTAGTTTTCTGAATGTTGAACTTTAAGCCAACTTTTTCACTCTCCTCTTTCACTTTCATCAAGAGACTCTTTAGTTCTTCTTTACTTTCTGCCTTAAGTGTGGTGTCATCTGCATATCTGAGGTTATTGATATTTCTCCCAGCAATCTTGATTCCATTTAGTGCTTCATCCAGTCCAGGATTTCTCATGATGTACTCTGCATATAATTTAAATAAACAGGGTGACAATGTACAGCCTTAACGTACTCCTTTCCCAATTTGGAACCAGTCTGTTGTTCTATGTCCAGTTCTAACTGTTGCTTCTTGACCTGTGTACAGATTTCTCAGGAGGCAGATCAGGTGGTCTGGTATACCCATCTCTTTAAGAATTTTCCACAGTTTGTTGTGATTCACACAGTCAAAGGCTTTGGGATATTCAGTTCAGTTCAGTTCAGTTGCTCAGTTGTGTCCGACTCTTTGTGACCCCATGAATCGTAGCACGCCAGGCCTCCCTGTACATCACAAACTCCCGGAGTTTACTCAAACTCATGCCCATTGAGTCTGCCATCCAGCCATCTCATCCTCTGTCGTCCCCTTCTCCTCCTGCCCCCAATTCCTCCCAGCATCAGGGTCTTTTCCAATGAGTCAACACTTCACATGAGATGGTCAAAGTATTGGAGTTTCAGCTTCAGCATCAGTCCTTCCAATGAACACCCAGGACTGATCTCCTTTAGGATGGACTGGTTGGATCTCCTTGCAGTCCNCGTAGTCAATAAAGCAGAAATAGATGTTTTTATGAAACTCTCTTGCTTTTATGATGATCCAGCAGATATTGGCAATTTGATCTCTGGTTCCTCTGCCTTTTCTAAAACCAGCTTGAACATCTGGAAGTTCTCGGTTCACGTGTTGCTGAAGCCTGGCTTGGAGAATTTTGAGCATTACCTTACTAGCGTGTGAGATGAGTGCAATTGTGCGGTAGTTTGAGCATTCCTTGGGATTGCCTTTCTTAGGGATTGGAATGAAAACTGACCTTTTCCGGTCCTGTGGCCACTGCTGAATTTTCCAAATTTGCTGGCATATTGAGTGCAGCACTTTCACAGCATCATCTTTCAGGATTTGAAATAGCTCAACTGGAATTCCATCACTTCCACTGGCTCTGTTTGTAGTGATGCTTCCTAAGGCCCACTTGACTTCACATTCCAGGATGTCTAGCTCTAGGTGAGTGATCACACCATTGTGATTATCTGGGTCGTGAAGATCTTTTTTGTACAGTTCTTCTGTGTATTCTTGCCACCTCTTCTTCGCATATTATGCTTAGTGAAATAAGACAGAAAAATGATACCACCTAGATGTGGAATCTAAAAAGTTATATAAATGAAAGTATATGCAAAACAGAAACAAATTCACAGATGCAGAATGCAAACTTGTGGTTACCAATGGGGTTGGGGGGAGGAGGGTGGGACAAGCTCGGGATATGGGATTAGCAGATACAGACTGCAGTATATAAAATAAATAAGCAACAAGGATATGCTCTAGAGTACAGGAGTTATACTCACTACCCTGTGGTGGTCTATAACGGAGTAGAATCTGCAAAAATTCTGAGTCACTGTGCTAGGTACCTGAAACTAACACAGTTTGTAAATCAACTGAATTTCAATGAAAAAAGATGAACGTGGGGCAGGGTCTTAGTTCACAGAAGGTGAATTTTCATCCTTTAAAGCTGAGTCCTGATCTTGTCATTTAGCACAGGTAACTTGTTTGTTAGACCTAAGCGAGTGACAACAACAGGTGAGTGACTACGCCTGCTTCTGACGCCTTTTATCTCCCTTTCTATTACTGTCCCGGCTTTTTCCGACTGTCAGATGTTCACCACAGAACCCTTCGTGTCTCAGACAACAAAACTGCCTCTTGCCCTTTCCCTAAGGCAGCCAAACTCTTCTTCCTGCTTCCCTTCCTGGGTAGTGATGCCAATGAGGATGACTAAAAAAATGTAGCTCTCCAGGTCATTCTTGGATTTGAAAAGAGAATTCCTTTAAACTTGGAACTTTGAGGAAGATACTGTTTGAGCTGGGAGCTCTGAGAGTCTCCTCCCAGTCACAGGCGGCCTGCTGGGCTGTACCTTTCTACCCCAAATCTAAGTAAATTGCCAGGGTCTAGAGTACCTAAAGGTATGATTGGATTGGGATGTGTAAAGGTATCCTAATGGTCAGGAACACAGGCTTTAGAGTTGACAGACAAAGCTAGGTAGGAATCCCACTTTTGCCCTTGGTTATATCAGAGTCTCAGTTTATTTGTCTGAAAAATGGGGGAAATAGTGACAGAATATCATTGTGGAGAGGATTACGTGTATTAACATATCCAAGGACGTTTGCCCATTTATGGCACGTAGGGAATGTTTGTATATGGTAGCAATTACTCAGGACTAGCTTCCTGAACACGTGACCTGTACAGTTGCACAAGGCATCCTTCTCGGGCGGGGGGTGGGGTGGGGGGTGCTGTGCTGGGGTTAGTGCTTTCTGACACTGTCTTAAAATTCTTCATAATTTTGCACAAGGGCCCTGAAGCTATGTAGCCAGTCCTGCTACTCCCAGGCTACTTTTGACCTCTGCTCCCTCATCTGATCCTACTTGTTACACACCTCTCCCCTTTCTATTGCTTGTTGTTTTCTCAGACCTTAGTAAAAAGAAAGGATCTTTTCTTTGGGAAAAGAACTGTGGTTCACAGCCTATGGAATATTCACATACAGATATCTTTTGTTGCCTCCACTTTTAGAAGTTATTAATTAAAGATCTTTTAGAGCACATCCTCTCTAAAATCAAATAGCAAAAATGACCCCAGGTAGAAAAGAACCCTGTGAAGACGTGTGATTGAAAACATCTGGGTGGAAAGTCTCACAGTGCGCCGTGTCCCTCCCCCTCTGCCTGCCCCGTGCTCATTATCAGGCTCTCCCAGGCACTGCCGGGCTATCTCCTTTTGTCATCTTTCTCACAGAGGGTCCTGACTTGAGTTACTCCCCATAGTGGTGACCTATGATTATTCAAAGCAGTTTTCTAGAAAATATACTGTTTCTGTTTGGAGTTGGGAGACTAGAGAGAGGCACAGAGCAGGCCACAGGCATACCTATGGATTCACCTTCTCTGTGTGGATGAACAGGATGAGCCTTGGCTTGAATCTGGATAAATTCTGTGACAACTTGGTCCTCAGGTTCCCTGACTTATGGTTTCTAAGTGTGGTCGCTCAGTCACGTCTGACTCTTTGCAACCCAGTGAACTGTAGCCCACCAGGCTCCACTGTCCATGAAATCCTCTAGGCAAGAATACTGGAGTGGATTGTCATTCCCTTCTCCAGAGGATTTTCCCAACCCAGAGATCGAACCCAGGTCTCCCACAATGCAGGCAGATTCTTTACCATCTGAGTCACCAGGGAAGCCAGTTTTGTCCAAATCTAACATTCTTAGACTAGCCCATGTGCATTAGTCACTAAATATCAACTTAGGGACAGGGGAGTTCTTTGGAAAATCAGACAGGTCTCCCATCAGAACTTGAGAAGTGTTGGGATCCTCTTGCTTTCTTTATTGTAAAGACCCCCCCCCTCCCCCCCAGGCCTGCCTGGACCTCTGGGTTGCAGAGCAGCACATTTGGACACTAAAAGTGGTGCGTGGCCTGGGAGCTCTGCTACAGGTGTGAACTAGGAGTTCAGACTATTCCCAGCCTTAGTGTTCTCTAGGGCACCTGCTAGGCAAGAGGTACCTATAGGTATACGGGACCCCATGGGCTGAGAAATGGAATGGAAGCTTCCATCAATGTGCTCTCTAGGACTGAGACGGGCATAGCAGAGAAGCAGAGTCAGGGTTGACTTCTTGGAACAATAGCCTGTTTTGCTGCCTGTGCGTTATATAAATGTTATCAGCTAGTGGACGGAGAACAGAAAGCAAGTGGGCAACCTTGGGTGGTGGTTGTATTTTGGAAAGCATGAATGAGTACTTGGCTTTTTCATTAAGTTTGCTGTTGAGATAGTGGGGCTCCTGCTATGCATAAAACATCTGTATTTTAGTATCTTTGAGCCCTGTCTTGCTTCCTCAACTGGAGTAATCTGTGGCTCTTTTGGCCTGCTGACTGGTTGCTTGTCTTGAGATTTGGCAAGTGATCTGTTCAATTCAGCCCTTCATCCAGTGATTCTTAGGGTAAAGTTAATAATCCTACAAGGTCGATAAGCTGTCCCAGATCACTCAGTCTTACATGAAGCCTCAGGAGCCCAGCCTCTCCAGGCTATAGTATCTAACAGCCTGTGGGTCACACCACAGCCCACCAGCCCACTTTCTGGTATCTATACTGATGCTGCCATTTCTGTCTTACAGGTGCTTACGTCATGCCGAGCCTTCCTGGTCACAGCGCGAATTCCCACCAAGGTGAGTGTTGATGAGTTTTCTCCTTCCAACACACGCACACAGCCCAACACAAAACACACTCCTCAGTTGCATAGACATGATTTAGGCCAGTATGTCCAGACTTCTCTTTGCACAACCTTATTTTCCCTCCTTCTCCCCCGAAAGCACCTGCATATCTCCTTTGTCCCCCTATCTGGGTAGAGCATCTGAGAAAAGCAGTGAAGCATTTCGTGCTCTGTATCCTCAGGGCTGGTGAATTTCAGTGATTTTCCTCTCAACTGGGGCAGGGTTTACACTTTCTTCAAGTCTGGTTCTTATTTCCTTGGGTCTAGTAATGGCCCATTTTTCTAAGGCTTTGACACATGGAGAATAACCGTCCTAACTCATAAAGTGTATGACCGGAAATGTAGCCACCCAGTCCTCCTCGGTGGAGGAGTCTGGTGTTGCCTCTAAAAAATAACTAAAAATATAGTTTTAGAGGTGTTGCCTCTAGAAAATAACAGGATACCACTTGGTTCTTTAAAAAAGACCAACATTTTCCATAAGATGTCCTTCATTATAGGGTGCAAATTAACATTTGAACTGATAACTTGTGAATTAGGCACCATAATCACTTCTTTTATTTTCTTTATGATCACAGAAAGGTTTTGACCCGTTTTATAGGATATAAATTGAATGCTAACAAGAAATTGGGTTTTTTTTTCCCTAAAAAGATAATTATAACTACATTTATCGAAAATTGTTTTAGTAAATAAGATGACCTCCCTAAAAACAAGTTATGAAAACCATGTGGTAGGTCTCATCATTCTTCTTGTCTTACAAATGAGGAAACTGAGGCACAGGGAGGGACAGTAGCTTGCCTGAGGTCAGGCTTACACCAGTTAGTGACAGGTGCATGGTTCTCATCAACCATGGGGCTTTGCATCCCTAAAACTACATTGTTATCACCTGAATTTAGTTAGTTATCTACCAGGTATATTTTAAGTACATTATCTCAGTCAATTCTCACAGTAGCCTTGTAGGTGAGCTATTAGAAAAGAGCTCAAAGACTACAAAGCTGGCTTATCTGAGTATTTTCAAGTAATGAATGGGAAAAGATTTAGACTCCCTAGCCTCCTCTTTTCAGCTTTCTACTGGCTGAACTTGCCTCACTTGCCGACAAACCCAGGAAGATGGGGAAGATTTGGAAGATGCTTTCAGCCTCACTGGACTATGATGTTTGGGTTGCATCATGTTTCTAGTCCTTTCTTCTTAAAATTCAATATTTAGCCACAGTCTTGTGAATACTTTCTTATGTGCTGGACACAGTGCTGTCATGAAGTGGACCTTGCAGGACTGACAGACTAATGATTTGCATGATTTCCGCTGAATTTTGAGAAGGTGCCAGCCCACTGTTTGCTAATCAAAGGCTGTGGGTACCTGATGCCTTTTTTTCCTTCTAATCATGCAAATGTTAAATTTTACACAGTTTCTCTAAGGAATGAGACTTTATATTATCCCACCCCTTTTGATAATACAGAGTGAGGCTTTACGTTTATAATGTGTTATAAATGAAATCAGTTATTATGTAAATGATTTTGGACTAAATTACCTGTACGCTAAAGTACCTGAAGGCTGGATATAAGGAAGTGAGCTGACCATTATCATGCTGGTGAAAAGTTAATTGCGGAAGGAAAATAGTCAAGCAGTCTGTTGACTGGAAGGCTCCTGAATGATATGTTTATCCTAATTAAAAATGTTACGACGCAGCAGGAGGGGTGTCACCTCTTGAAGAGTCACGTGTCTCCCTTCTGTTGCCGCTTCCTTGCTCTGCACTTGAGCAAATGGCCACTTTCATCCCATGATCTATATAACATTCACACCGGCCTGGCTAGGGCAATTTGGACGTTGGTTCTGATGTCTGATATTGTCAGCATCACAAAGAAAGAAAGGCAGGCCTTCTCTCAGAGTGACCTGCAGATAGGCTGCCCTGGAGGGGAGGCTGGTTTTCATGTGTCACAGCATACCTTGGTTAAGGAGCAGAGCCAGTGTCAATGGCGTTCATTTTTCTGGGGAAATAATTATATTCAGAACAGCAGTGTACAACAGCCTCTGGTTTTCGCACAGGTTTCTTCTCTTTTCTTCAGGGCTGATTAATTAAACATTTTCTTTTCTCTCTTTATAGTCAAATGTACCTCATACACAGTCGAATGTGCAAAATAGAAATGTGCAACTCCGTGATTAATCACCGAGCGGAGACCTCTGTAGTCACACGCAGATGAAGAAGTAGAACTTTGCCATTCCCCCGCAGAAGGCCCCAACTCTGCTTAGGGGGATGGGAGTGGGTTATTGTCAGGGGAGCGTCTGCAGGGAAGCTGGGTTGGACGATGACCCCATGTCAACCAGGCAGTGGAAAGGGTCTCCCGCTGGTCAGAGGTTTACCAGTTGACAGGAGCAGAGTGCATCTGGGGAGCTGGGGTGAGGGCCGAGACTGAGCAGGCGGCTGTGGAGAAGGGGACACTGGCCGGAAAGGTGGGCAGTCATGACACGGGTCACTGCGTGCAGAATAGTGGGAGCGTCACATAATCATGGTGAGATTCGCTCTGCTGCCCGTCGGGTGGGGCCTGCCCTGCTGGGAGTAGAGGTGGGGTGAGTGAGAGGATGGCAAGAGAGCTGTTGATAGTCTGGGCCATTCCTTCCCCATCCCGAACGGATTCCTAGTGTCTGTGGCTCTCTCTCAAAGATGCCCCAGGTCTCCTGCACCTGCCTGTGTCTCCGCTTCCTCACTAGTCCCGCTCCTGCTCAGTGGTGTTCTTTAAGCTGTCTTCAGGGTGGCCTGGAGTCAGGGGCAGGCCAGCGACAGGGGTTGAGAGCACAGGCCTATTAAAAAGAGCCGTGGGTGAGATTAGAGAGAATGCCTTGGACCTGGTTATGACATCAGTCCGTGTGTCTCAGGGACTCCCCTCCTCACCATTCATTGATCGTTAAGATCAATAACCCTTGACTGTTATGGTCAATAAGAGACTCAGCCTGTCCTCCCTTCCTCATCCGCAAAACTGCAGAGTCTCCTTCCCATTTCAGCCTTGCCCTCGTTCTCTGAATCCTTCCGTGCCTTTGCAGATTCTTTTTCTTCTGCCTGGATTTCCCTTTTCCGTTTTTCTGTATTGGACACACTTCAAGCCATTCTTCAGGGCCTAGCTGGAATGTCTCAGTGCTTTCTTGGCTCCCTGGCACTTGGTTTATTCCAGGGACAGCCCTGAGGGGCAGCAGGAGCATCTTAACTGACCTCCAGCTGACCTCTGCCAGCCAGACTGACCACAGCTGCCCATGCCAGCCCCGGTGATGCTGACCGCTGCCAGCTGCGTCTTCATAGCTGCCAGGTTGTAAGAGAGTGCAGGTCCTCTCCAGACACCTGTCCCCACCAGTTGAATGAGATGCCCATTAAGAGTCCGCGGTTTGTTTCCAAACCTATTCACAGCAGTTATAATTAGTTTTAAATTAAAATATATATTTCATATATTAATGAAATAGGCTGTAAAAAGAGAGAGCATCTGTGAAGTATTGAATGTTGATCAAAGAATTCACTTAAAATACTACTGTCATGTTAAGGACCAGGCATCTGTTAATGGGCAGGGGCATGGAGAATATAATAACCTAGAGAACTTACACCCTCGTGTTGCTTTCCCTTGTCTTCAAGTTCTCACTTCATTTTAAAGAGCTTGCATTGAAAGTTGGGTGCTCTGAAGTTATGAGTGTGGCCCACAGAGGAAATGCCTTTGAAGGGCCAGCCCAAGGGGCTTGACTCAAAGAAGAAACTTTGACACTATGTCCAAGGCTGGCAGATGAAAATATGTTTATAAGATTTAATTTGAAATAAATGGGAAGGTAGAGATATGCTTTATTTAGAAACTAATTCCCTGCTTTAAATGAGTTTTCAGACCTCACCAAGTATTGATCTTGATAACGATAGGGAAGAAGACATCCACTCTAATCGAATGTTCAAGAGGTGCCTCCAAGACTGAATTTAACTCTGGGAGGATGAGATAAATGTGTTATTTCTCTTGCTCATCTTGGCACATAGTAGGCCTTCTGTAAATATCTGTTGGTTCAGTGATGTCATTGATGAAGCAATGAATTTATCTTTCTACCTCCCACCCTCATCTTCATACTTCAAAGCATTTAACTGGAGATTCAGGGGTCCTCTGTTCTAAAACTGATCCTATCAAATGTATAAAGGTACCAGCAGGCAGAGCTATGGGTCCTATGGGTGTGGTTCTAGATGGGTTCTTTCCCCATTATTTTTCTAGTTTTAAAGCAAGAGAGTGAAATAAACTGATCCAACTCAGTTCTGCCCGTTGTCTTTAGTCCTCGGTTCTGTGACTGTTTGCTGTATTCAGATGAAACACTGAAAAACTGGGAGAAAGATTAGTGGCCGCTTTCCAGGAAAAATAGGCAAAGAGAGACTGGAGATATTTTGAAGAAAAAAAAGTGCTGATTATAGGAGAAGTGAGGAAGGAGCATGTGTTATTAAAATAGGAAATAAATTATAATTTATGCATATACAGAGACAGAAGAATTTTATTTATTAATAACTGTGTTTCATTGGGGCACAGATTAAAATTCCTAAATACTGTGTTTTCCTAAATCCATTTAAAATAGGAACTTTAATGAAAGACAGTGGAAAGAATGATGATTCCAATAAGTGGTCAGAATGTAACCCAAAGGGGTAAGGGTTTAGAAAGAAGGGAAAACCAACAATGTCTTTATCCTGATCTGACTTGCTGAAGCAACATCTTGAAATAAGAGAAAAAAGTCTATTTAGATGGCTCCCTTCATAGTCATTCCTCAGTAAATAAATAATGGAGTAGAAGTACAGAAACTTTCCATGGGGTTTGTCCTTGGATGAAATTTTAAAAAGTCAGACTTGGCATTTCCTTTTGGCCCTTTAGGAACGTTACTAATGCTTTTTTAGAAATATGATAGGTCAAAGGTCATGTCATATTGAATGAATGGAGATATTAAACCAGCCTACCTTCAGAAGATGCCCAATGTTTTGTTTGCACTTGGACTATTTCTAATTGTAGCATTTTTTACTTTGAATTATAGGTTTTAACACCCTTATTACAGGTCTGTCTTTCCTCCCCCTCCCTCAATGCAGCTCGAGGTAACGTTCAGCTATTTGGAGATTCACGGTGTCGTCTGCAGCAAGCCAGCTCAGGTGGGTATGAACAACCTGTTTGTCATTATTCCAAGGTCAGAACCTTTCTTGAGTTTCTGAAACCAGATAATACCTTCTGTTTGGTTCACTAATGAAAGTTTCTTGAGATAATGTGGAAAAACAAGATAAGGGAAAATGGGGTTTTTGAATGAGAGACTGAACAGGGGCTGGGTGGGTAGGGGTCAGGAGTTTGTGATAAAGGAAGCAGTTCATTCTCCTAATTTAGTGTGGAAAGACCTAATGAGCTCTTATGTTACCTGGCAATGTAGATGTAAGAGTACTGTTCCTTAGAAATGTTGTACAAGTTTTAGCACTAAAATTTCATAGCTATTCTACAATACTATGTAAGATCTTTCTGGGAATAGAGTGATTAAGAGAATTTTTTGATATTAATAAAATATAGATTTTAAAGGATAGCTTTATTGAAATGTAACATGCAGTCAACTGAAGTGTGCAGTTTGATAAGCTGTGACATGTGGACCCATGAAACAATTACCACAATCAAAATACTGAACATGTTCATCACTCCCATGCATCACTCTCATGCATCTTAGTAAACATTTCCTCTTGCGCCCCACCCCCATCTGTAATCTTCTATAGGCATCTGCTCTCAGCCACTAATTTCTGAAATTTTATATGAGGAGAATCATAGTGTGTGTGCCTTCTCTTAGCCAGTGTATTTATTTGGAGAATGATTAATTTTGTTGCATATCTCAATAGGTCATTCCTTTTTATTGCTGAATAGTGTTCCATTGTATGACTGTATCAGTTTATCATCTAGTGATGGACATCTGGGTCGTTTCTAGCTTTTGGTTGACAAGCAAAGGTGCAGTGGGCAATTATTTACAAGTCATTGATTGGACATTGGCTTTTAGTTCGTGTGGGTAAATATCTAGGAGTGGAATGGCTGAATTGTATGGTAGGTATCTGTTCTCTTTTTTATGATGCTGCTAAACTGTTTTCCAAAGTGGTTGTACCGTTTTACATCACCACCAGCATTGTGTAAGAGTTCCGGTTCCTTCACACCCTCCGCAATACTGGTATGATCAGTGCTTTAAATTTTAGCTATTTTAATAGATTTGTAGTTTTTTAATTTGTATTTTCCTAGTGACTAAAATATTGAACGTCTTATCTGTTTATTTGCTGTCATGTATCTTTGTTCAAGTGTTGGTTCAAATCTTTTGCTATTTTAAAAATTAAGTCCTTGTTCTTTTACTAGTTCTTTGTATATTTTGGATACAAATCCTTTATCAAACGTATGATTTGTACATATTTCTCTTGGTCTGTGGCTTGTTTCTTCATTTTCTTGACAGTGCTTTCCAAAGAGCCGAATTTTAAAATTTTGGTGAAGTTCAGTTTGTCTGTTTTCTTTCATGGATCATGCTGACATCATATTGAATAAATTCTTGATTAACTTAAGGTCACAGAAGGTCTATATCTTCTCAGGTGTTTTATAGCTCTAAGTTATACATTTAAGTCTATGATCCATTTTGAAGTATTAATAATTTCTGTATACAAAGCAATATGTGGATCAATTTTTTAATGTATATATTTCTAATTGTTCCAGTAATGTCTGTTTGAAACTGTCATTTCCCCACTGAATTTTCACTTTTGTTGACGAGCAATTGTACACATAAATATTGGTCTTTTTCTGGTCTCCTTGGTCCCTTTAATCTTGTCCCTCTAGTCTATTTGTCTGTCCTTGTGTTGATCTTGCATTGTCTTGATTACTGTGGCTGTTAGAGCAAGGATTGAAATCAGATAGTGTTAGTCCTCCAATTTTGTTCTTCTTTTTCAAAGTTGTTTTAGTGATTCTATGTTCTTTGCATTCCATATGAATTTTAGCTCAGTTTCTACAAAAAGGCCTGCTGAGATTTTGATTAGGATTATATTGTATTTATGAATCAGTTTGGAGAGAACTGATGTTTTAGTAAAATGTATCTCTGATCCAAGAAAATTATTTCTCCATATCGTTAGGTCTTTTAAAATTTATCTTGGTAGTATTTTGTTGTAGCTTTCGGTATACAAGTCTTATATATCTTTGTCAAATTTACAGATATAAAGTTGTTCATAGTATCCACTTGTTAGTGTTTAATTATCTGTAGAATATCTTTCATGGTGTTGATGATTTGCTTCTTCTCTCTTTTCTTTTCCGTATCAGTCTAGTTAGAGGTTTATCAGTTCTTTTGGTCTTCTCAAGGAACTTGCTTTTTGGTTGTATTGACCTTATTGACTTCATTGGTTGTTTTCTATTTCATTGATTCTTACTCTGATGTTTTTATTTCCTTCTACTTAGTTAAAAAAAAAACAACTCTAAAGAAAATGTGTGTGTGTGTGTAGTTTGTTGCTAACATTCCTAAAAGAAATTGTCAAAATTGTCACTTTATGTTGATTGAGATTACATACAAATCCTTGAAACTTTTCCATAGTTCATCTTAAAGCAATGTTTTATCCTATGTGTTTATCATTCTCCAGGAACTGGAGTTTGGAAGGAAAATTACAGCTCCATATGTTTGTCCAAATGGGCAAACATATGCAGGAGTGATCACTCATGAATGATGACATAGCCAGGGCCTTCCTGATGGTCTTAATTCAGGAATGTTTATGTTTATGATTTTGGGGTTGTGATGGGAACAGAAGGGTGCTACTGAAATGTCAATGCCAAGGTTATATTCAGAATATGATTAGACCGTGCTATTTAATTATGAGAAAGGATGTTGATACAGCAAGACGAATTTTCGCATGTGGCTGCTGAAACTGATCTTACCAGGCTTACGGTCTGCGCCTTCAGCATGTCCAGCATTCAGAGGAATGAGGGTTAAGGCAATCACCGCAGCCCCATGGAGCTGTTCTGTCCCTGTGAGTACCACAACGGCAGCTCTGCAGTATCGCTTCAGTTTGGCTTTATGCCTGGTGTGGACCTGGAAAATAAAATCACTGTATGGTGCAACAGTGGGACTGTTCTCACAAAGGGGCTAGCAATCCAGACACTGGCAATATGAGTCACTTAGTGGGATTCAAGATTTGATGTTTTAAAATTGCCTGTGGTGCTTTGTAAAAATACCGATGCCTCAGCGGTTGGGTGTAAGACAGGCTACAAGGATGTGTTGTACAGCCCAGGGAATATGGCCCATATTTTCCAATAACTGTAAGTGGAGTGTACCCTTTAAAATTTGTATAAAAAATGAAAAAAATGTAGCTCCAGCAGCCCCACTCCCTCCTCTACCACATACACACACATACACACATATTCACTCACGACACTTAGGATGCCATATGTCTGAGGTGGGCATTTGGTTCTGTTGTGTCCCACAGGTTGAGAATGAATAACCCATGTTACCTCAGGACCGTTGATGTCTCTGGATTTTTTTTTTCTGATGTGAAATCATAAGAATGATGGCATCTGCCTGACTGGCCTTGAACAGAGCATTTTTTTTTCGTGTTTTCTGGGATTTATTAACTTTTCTGTCACTGCAATTTTATCATTTAATTATAGTAACTTCTGATAAGATGCAAGGAGACATACACATTTCATGGTATATTAGTGAGAGTGAGTGAATTTGGTGCTGAGTTTGTGAAATGTGACTTTTACTATTGTTCTTTTCCTCCTTCTTGTGAAAATGTGGGAGAGTGTCATCTTATTTTGCAAGTCTTCTTGCCATAACACTTTCTGATGTTCAAGTTTTCTTTCTATCATGGTCAATAAATAGAGATCAGTGGTTGTATAGTTTTATAGTTATAGAATTTTTGGACCATTTTTTATACAACTGAAATAGCTGCTAAATGTTTTTCCTTTTTTTTTCATTATAAGGTTGTTTGTTGTGTCACAGAATGATTTTGATAAACCACCTGTGCTATTTCCGTTGCAAGAAAAACGCTTCACAGATCTGTTGGTTGGACTTTAGTAAGAACATTTTTCTTAAAGATTACTCAGGTGGTTCTAAGCAAGAGGTGGAGTGGGGTTAGAAACTTGAATCTTAAATATCAATAGGATACTAGTGTTTATAGTGCTGACTACTATTTTAAATGTGTATTGGACTCAGGGAATATATTCCGCTAGGTGTCAAAGCAATAATTATTTCAAACATTCTGTTTTACCCTCAACTGAAGTAGGAGGGTGAGGGATATTTGAGAGGGAGTTCATTTTTCTGATGAAATGATTTACTGTATTGGTCTCACCTCTATCACTTTGTTGTCATCTTTACATTATGCAAAGGTGGTGACATATTATGCAAGGCTGGATGAATTCTTTTATGTGAAGTTGAATTCAAAGGCCTCAATTCTTCCCACCTGTCACCTTTTTTCCTTTCCTGTCATTCTATTCAATCTTGTACAATTAAGGATGATTAGGTGTTAAGATTAAGTGGAATTAGAATAAGCTAGTTACTAATTATCCATACCCAAACTGTGAACTGAATAGATGCGCTAGATGTGATGAAAGAAGTAGTACATTAGAGTGGAAAATATAATTACCTGTTGTGGGAAGGTTGGGAGTGGGGTGTGGAACATAGACAAGGAGGTTGTATCACAGAGTATCTGGCTTTTTAAAACATATGTATGCCCAGATAGGTGTGTATGAAGCATCAGCAGCTTTTCTCAGGACATATCACTGAAGTGTCATGTCAGTAACTACCTCCATGTACGAGATTGCTTGCTGCCTTTTTTGGGATAAATATCTCTTGGACCAACTTCTACAAGACCAATGAAGTCTTTGTCTAGAGAATTTCAAAGGCAGTGCTGTAGTGAAAATTGGGATTAAAAACTTTTTATACAGGGAGCCAACTAATCGTTACAAAGCTGGTATGTATTAAATACTTGTTAACAGATTCCTCTAAGGGTACTTATGAAAAAGTAACATTTAGGGACTTAAATTACTTAAGTCTTTTTCTTTGATTTCATTTCGACAAATAAATTGGATTGCTTTTTCTTTTAATATAATCACTTTGAAATACAGATTATTTTTTAAAATTCAGCTGATGTTTTTGTTTTTGTTCAGTTGCTAAGTCATGTCCAAATCTTTGCAACCCCATGGACTGTAAGCCCGCCAGGCTTCTCTGTCCATGGGATTTTCCAGGCCAGAAATACTGGAGTGGGTTGTCATTTCCTTTTCCAGGGGATCTTCCTGGACCAGAGATCATTCTTTACCACTCAGCCACCAGGAAGCTAATTTTAGGCCCACCTAAATTCCATGGACAGAGGAGCCTGGTGGGCTACAGTCCATGGGGTTGTAGAGTTGGATAGGACGGAGTTGCACATAAGACCACACACACATAGAGCGAATCTAGAAGCTTCTTTTAAATCCAGTTGTTTAGTTGCACATTAAGGGTAGAGTTTCCCCATCATATTTTTGTACAAATTAAGTAGCAACAGGGAGTAAATATACAAGGATAGTTTGATGCAGTGATCATCAAAGGGATTGCATTTTACATTAATATTTTTGAGATCCAAGAGAATGGTATCTTTTTACCCTTAAAAAGAAGTGACTTGAACAACTTTTTATTTGGAATGTGTTTCTAATCAGTCTAAGGTCTCTTTTGTGACCTACCCCTTTCTATCAGGTTGTTTTATACTTATTTGTAAGCCTAGCTATATGAACTCAATTTAGCATTTTGGTATAAGTTTTGGACATCTCCAGCAGATAATTATAGAAATGAATCTTCACCTAGCATGAATTTTATTAACCTTGTTCCCTTTGTATAATCCTTTCTAAATATCCTCTCTTAGAAAAGTTGAAGCTTTTATAACACGTGATTTTTCTTTTGTTATCAGGGAAAAGATTTTACCCTCTTACTTAAATATCTCATGATGTCTTGTTTTTAAAGCATGTTTTCAAAAAATGGAACTACCAGCTTGTCCTCCTGTACTCACCGAAGGAAATATTCTCACTTACAGTAGATGGTAGGGATATAACAGGCTTTGTAAGTCAAGGTAAAATCTTGGTAAAAGGAGAACTCACCCACAAATGTGGACATTCACTCTCCATCATAGAGGGGATCTGTTTGAATCTGCAGTTTGGCCCTTAGAGACACTTGCTTCAGTTTCTGGATATTTCTGACAAACTAACCACTCTACCCAGACAGTTCTTTGAGTCTTAAAATTAAGAGCATTATTTTAAGAAATTGCCTGTTAAAATCTGGTATTCTATTAGTATATATCAGCGTGAGCACAGAAGTATCCCATTGTGTAGAGTGTCAGTTACCCGTGGTTGACCATGGTTGGAAAAGTGGAAATATCTGGAAATAAACAATTCATAAGCCTCACATTTCATGCTGTTCTGAGTAGTCTGACATATATGCTGTTGAAGCGTGTATGAAATCTTGCACTGCCCTGCCTCATCCCACCCAGGACTTGAATCATCTCTTCATTCAGTGTTGGTCACACTCTAGTCACACGGTAGCCAGCTAGGTTATCAGACCAACTGTCACAGTATTTATAATGGCCCTGAAGCATAAGTGTCATAATATTGGCAATTTGGATGTGCCAAAGAGAAGCCACAGAGTGCTTTAAATGAAAAGGTGAAAGTTCTTGACTTAATAAGGAAAGAAAAAAATTATATGCTGAGGATGCTTAGATCCATGGTAAGAATGAATCTTCTATCTGTGAAACTATGAGGCAAGAAAAAGAAATTTGTGCTATTTTGCTGTTCCATCTCGAATTGCCAAAATTATAGCCAGAGTGTGATGACTGTTTAATGAAGATGGAAAAGGCTTTAAAGGAAATCATTGACAAAGCAAAAAGAGAATCTAGTGAATGAGAGAAAATATTTGCAAATGATATGACTGATAAGAGGTAAATATCCAACATATATAAGCAGCTCGTACAGCTCAACATCAAGAAAACAAACAATCTTATTAAAAATTGGGCAGAAGTGAATAGGCATTTTTCCAAAGAGGAAATGCAGATGGGCAAAAGGCACATGAAAAGATGCAAAACATTGCTATCATCGGGGAGATGCAAATCAAAACTACAATGAGATACTACCTCACACTTGTCAGAAAGATTGTCATCAAGAAGAACACAAATAACAAATACTGGTGAGGAGGTGGAGAGAAGAGAACCCTCATATATGATCGGTGGGAATGTGAATTGGTGCAACCACTGTGGAAAGCAATATGGTGGTTCCTCAAAAAACTAAAAGTAGAACTACCATATGATCCAGGAATTTCACTTCTAGGTATATATCCTAAAAAACCAAAATAATAATTTGAAAAGATCCATGCACCCCAGTGTTTGGAGCAGCAATATTTACAATTGCCAAGGAATGGAAGCAACCTAAGTTTCTACCAACAGGTGAATGGATAGCAAAGATGTGATATGTACACCCATGTGCACATGCACACATAGTATAATACTACTTAGTCATAAAAAAGAATGGAACGTTGCCATCCACAGCCATGTGGATGAACTTGGAGGGATCATACTAGGTAAAATAAGAAAAAGAAATACTGTATGGTATCATTTATGTGTAGAATCTCAAAACTACAGCAAACTAGTAAATATAACAAAAAAGCAGACTCACAGATCTGGAGGAGAAACTAATGGTTACTAGTGGGAAAGAGAAGGAAGGAGGAGGGATGGTATATGGGTAGAGGACTAAAAGATACAAATATTAGGTAGAAAATAAGCTACAAGGATATATTGTGCAATACAGAATGTAGCCAATATTTTATAATAACTATAAATGTAGTACAAACATTAAAAGTTGTGAGTCACTATCTTATATACCCATAACATATAATACTGTACTTCAGCTATGCTTCAATTAAAAAAAAAAAAAGATGGAAAAGGCATTAAGATTTGTACAATAAGATGTTTTGAGAGAGACCACATTCACATAACTTTTGTTATAGTCTATGGTTATAATTGTTTTATTATTAGTTATTGTCAATCTCTTAGTGTGCCTAGTTTATAAATTAAGCTCTATTATGGGCATGTATGTATAGGAAAAAATATAGCATATATATAGGCTTCAGTCCTGTCTGCTTTCAGGCTTCCACTGGGGGCCTTGGAGCGTTTCCCCAAGGATAAGGGGTGCGGCGCTACTGTATATAGTTTACGGTATTTAAAATAAAGAAATGTAAGGAAGTGGACTCCTCCTTAAGCAGTGTCCCACCTGGCTGTTGCAGATGGTTGTGGAGACTGAGAAGTGCAGCATCTCCATGAAGATGGCGTCGCCCGAGGACGTGAGCGAGGTGCTGGCGCACATCGGCACCAACCTGCGCAAGATCTTCCCTGGCCTCTCCCCAGTGTGAGTTCTCCCGGGGCCCTGGCTCTCCCTCAGAGTGCAGACAGCCTCCGTCTTGCCCTTCATAGGCTTCCTCTCTCCTGCTTCCTTCCTCTTTTAAACGTTACCCATCATACATTGAAATACCCTGGCTCAATCCTGTGTCGTGTCTGAGATTTTCTATGTGACTGTTCTTTAAAGAGCTGGAGTGAGGAAGTGACGTGAAGTCACTCGGTCTTGTCCGACCCTTTGCGACCCCATGGACTGTAGTCTACCAGGCTCCTCTGTCCGTGGGCTTTTCCAGGCAGAGTACTGGAGTGGGTTGCCATTTCCTTTTCCAGGGAGTGAGGAAGGAGCTTGGTATTCCTTTAACTTCTACTGCTAAGACTAAAACACAAACTTTAAAAAAAATTATTTTTTTATTGGAATATAATTGCTTTACAATGTCACGTTAATTGCTGTGCAACCAGGTGAATCATCCACATGTATACATATATCTCCTCCCTCTCGGGTCTCCCTCTAGGTCATCACAGAGCACACAATCTGAGATTTACCCTAGTATGAATTTTCCTCACAGCTATTAGCAGAATGTCTGGGGCTGAATGCTTTATAGGGAGGCATCAAGTATAACGTTAATGAAGAATTTTATTTTCTTCATTTTTTTTTTCCTGTTCAGTGAGAGGAAACTTACAAACAGAACTGAATGTCAAACAGCCTCTTTCATTTTCTTCACTTCTGAAATACATGTCAAGGCTAGAAGTAAATTTCGCCTGGACATGCCCTCGTATTTTTTTCTCAAGCATTTTAAACCAGGATTATGTGCTTGGGTAAGAGAGTTTGTACTTAGGGAGTACATGGGTTGTTGGAAAGGGGGGGTTAGATTGACTGAGGTGAAACGGCAGCTTTCCTACCCAACATGCACAGTTAGCTTGTCAGAATCAACTCTGAGTATCTTGTGACTTTAATGTTCTGCCTGTACTTGTGAAGTTCCTTAATTGTATTCCACACGGTTGGCCTGGGAAATGGATAATTCTGTTGGTGTTGGTTGTTGTGACTAGAAAGAATTGAAGAAGGGGGTATCTTTTCATCTGTGTTCCCAGTAGTCAGTGCTGTCAGGAAGGGAAATAGATCCTTCACATAAATAATATAGAACAGCAAAAGAAAACAGGTCCCCAGTAAGGTCGAATGACCCCCTCATAATAAGTTGGAGAATATGAAACTATACTTGGAATGCTCAAGCTTTGTTTGAGCTATTTGTCCATCAAATGTATCACCTGAGCTCATCGTGGGAACTTTGGGTCCTCAGCCCTCACCTGCTTCCTTGCTCAGGTAGACGTTGATCATTGAAGAAGAGTCTGAACAGGTATTAGGAACTGGCCGAATCAGGACAAACGCAGCCAGGGCCTCAGTTCACATAATCCGTTCTTGAATAATCTAAGGTTGGCTATGTATAAATGAAATGATACCTGCCAGGAACTGAATTTCTGGTTTTACTTAAATCTAGTTTTGAAAATGGCATCCATGATCAAAATCAAATATATAGGGCTTCTGTGGTAACTCAGTGGTAAAGAATCCGCCTGCCAATGCAGGCGATGTGGGTTCGATCCCCGATCTGGAAGGATCCCATATGCTGTAGAGAACTAAGGCCATGCGCCACAACGATTGAGCCTGTGCTCTAGAGCCTGGGAACTGCAACTCCTAAGCCCACATGCCATAACTCCCCATGCCCTCGAGTTTGTGCTCTACAACCAGAGGGTCCACCTCAGTGGGAAGTCTGTGCACCACAACTTGAGTAGTCCCCACTTGCTGCAGCTAGAGAAAAGCCAGCACATCAGCCAAGACCCAGCACAGCCAAAGTAAATAAATAAAATTAAATTAAAAATCAAACATACAAAAATAGTATAAAAATATCTATAAAATTTGACCAATCCCCTTGAGTATATTCAGAATGCAGGTAGGGAAAAAAATGAAGAAGTTTAATTAAAATTAAGATTTTGCATCAGAATCTCTTCTGTGTGTGTGTGTGTGTGTGTGTGTGTATATGTTTCCCTCTTCCTCTTTCCCTCCCTTACATCTCTCCTCTACTTCATTAAATAAGCAAAGTTTGATCTTTACATAAAATAAAGAAGAAAATGTAAATTTAAACATCAAATCACTTTTAGCATTGTTTTGTCAACATTCCCTCTTTGCTGTGTGACAGTCACTATCACTGGAGGCTTCATCTCTGTGGCAGTGATATTGGGAGGAAACTAGGGGAAATATTTGTAGCCTAAGTGTTGTTTAATCCGTTTCACAGAGATGCTTGTAATGGCATTTCCCTTCAGGAAGTTGTCTTGTGTTATGGCCTTCAGGAACCCTGGCTGTTCTCTAAAAATTTAGGGTTTTTTTTTTTTTTTTACAGTAAGTCATTAGGATGAGTTAGAACTAATTTAGAAGATGTTTACTTGAGAACATAGATGAGTGAAAAACAAGGAAAGTGAACCATCTTCAGATTTCAGAAAGGAAAATCTCGTTTAATTTGGGATGTCAAGAAAATAATGTTTGGTTTATGTCTGTTTTGATTTGTTTGAGCTTCTCTGCGGGCTCAGATGGTAAAGAATCTGCCTGTAATGCAAGAGCCTGGGGTTTCATCTCTGGATGCAGAAGATACCCTGAAGAAGGGAATGGCTACCCACTCCAGTATTCTTGCCTGGAGAATTCCTTGGACAGAGGAATCCTGGCAGTCTACAGTCCATGAGGTCACAAAGAGTCACACGTGATGAGCAACTAACATTTTCACACTTTTTCCTCTTTGTTTTGAGAGGTTGGCTGTTGGTGGCGGTGGGCCCCAGGGAGAGTTCTGTGGGGGAAATGGCAGAGGTTGGAGGCCGGAGGCAGATGCAAGGGCAGGTGCAGCTGCAACTTTGCTTGCCTTAGGAGGACAGCAACCAGCCTCTTGCAGTTAGAATTGGGAGACTGCAGATATCACTGTGAGACAAAGATAAAGCCGCCTGGAGAGAGCCCAAATAAAAGCCTCTGGGATTGGCAGTAGGGAGCTAGTGAGGGCTTTTCAACTTTAGAATAAAATGACAGCTACTCTTAAGGGAGAGTCAGTCTTGTAGCACTGCTTTATGAGCCTGGGGGAAGAGAGCCCCAAAATGAAACTGAAAGGAGTCAGATTGTCTGAATATTTTGGGGGGAGGGGTGAGACTCTAGGCAGATTAATGTACTTCTCCATGCCTCAGTGTCCTCTGTAAAATGGGAATAATGATAGTCATGCAGTTTTGTGAGGATTAGATTAACTCCTGTTGACTGCTTAACAAATGCTCCACAAATCTTAGCTGTATGGCCTGCTATTGTCTTTACCCGGAAGCACCAGGATGAAAGCCTTCATGTTGGGAAGGAAATGAGTGATGTTTGTAGGGAGATTCTTTGATGTTTATGAATTTTTAAATTATTTTATGTTTGTGTATAAATTGATTGCGTTTCTTTGATTTTTTTGTTGTTAAATGTGGCAAATACACCCTTTTTTAGGTAAGACAATAGTAACCTCCTAACATGATTTTCTTCTCAGGCTTTCAGCATATTTGATTATTCTTTCATATACGTGACAGTGTGAAAGTTGGCTGGGTATTAGTGTCAGTAAGTTAGGACAGTGCGTCTTTACTACCATGATAGGGATAATATTGCAAATCCCTCTTCAAGTCAAAAGCTGGTTAAGTTTGAAAAGGGAAAGGAAAGTGAAAGTCACTCAGTTGCTCTACATTTTGTGATCCCGTGGACCATACAGTCCATGGAATTCTCCAGGCAAGAATACTGGAGTGGGTAGCCTTTCCCTTCTCCAGCAGATCTTCCTGACCCAGGAATCGGACCAGGGTCTCCTGCAGGCAGATTCTTTACCAACTGAGCTATCAGGGAAGCCCTAAGTTTGAAAAGATGAGGTTATTGTGAAGAGAAGTGGCAAAACGGGAGTTAATGTGTCAACAATGGAAAGGTGCTTTACAGACTCTGGGAGTTTCTATACTTTTCTAAAGAAGTAGGTACCCCTTTGTGGTGTGGTTTGCATCAATAAAACATGTCCTCTTCTGGAGACAGCTACATGTTGTATAGGGTGAGCGCTGGAAGTAAATTTTTGATAAACCAATTAATTTAACCTGATTAAAATAATTTGTTTATTTTTTTCCATGTCAACAATGTAAGTATGAGGTTTGCATAGAGAGCAGGCATGCTTGTAACTTGAGTTCACTATTCGTGTCACATAAACTATTTTCTGACTCTTGTGTAAATTAAATGCACATAATCCCTGGTGGTTCAGATGGTAAAGAATTCACCTGCAATACAGGAGACCTGGGTTCGATCCCTGGGTTGGGAAGCTCCCCTGGAGAAGGGAATGGCTACCCACTCCAGTATTCTTGCCTGGAGAATTCCACCAGACAGAGGAGCCTGGTGGGCTACAGTCCGTGGGGCCACAAAGAGTCGGACACGACTGAGCGACTAAGCATACACAATGTAAATGTAGTTGGTTCAACTGCGTAGGTGCCACCTATCAGTAAGTGGTAGGATGTATTAATACATATCCATTTGCTAGGATTTTGGTTTACGTGTTATGACATTTCCTCTGACAGCAATTTCATGTCTGTCTTTCTGTCTGACATGCATGGTGTGTGTGTGTGTGTGTGAGTGAGCGCATGTGAGCGGGTGCCTTGTGGTGCATACACAGATGGCTTTTTGCTGTTACTTTGCTGCAGGCATAACCCATGTGGGGTAGATTTTTCCTTTCCTCATTTTCTGTGTCTCGTGTTAGATACAAAAGAAACAGTTGCTGCCTTCTGGATGTTTAGTTCTTACCAGTTTCTCTCTTGTGTAAATAAATACACTTGTTTCCTGAGACTCCTTTAGTCCCTGATACCTAATTTTTTTTTTTTCCTTTCTGAAAAAAAAAAAAAAAAAAAAGAAAAATGAGAACTGTTACAGGATGAGAGCTACTTGGTAAAGCTCAGACAGATACTTTGGAAGGGTGGTTTTGAAGGTGAGGGAAAATGACAGGTGTAGCCTCCTCAAGCAGGAAACCTTTCACATGGACGTCTACACTAGCTACTTCCCTCACCATCCAGGTGATTTTTTTCTGCCCCCAAGTGTGACTTTCTATGCTGTTTTGGGAATAAAATTAGACTCTGGTTTCTGAACCAGATTAGTTTATTTGCCAGTATAATCCTAGGCTGCCATCTTCCTATATCTAATCCTCCCAGCTTCCTGCCTTTTTTTCGGTTTTTGACTAGCTTAATTTCCTCCTGTGTGTCATTGAAACAACATGCTCTACAGTTCAGCCGAAATAAAGCAAGATTTTAGAAGACAAATGTGATCTCAGATAAAGCCAGACATAAATCTAGTTTAGTGTGTCCATGGTTTTACTTAATTCATCTGTGTAAATGCTTCTGTTTCCAACTGCTCCACTCCATCTTTGCATAATAGCTGGCTTTGCTTTCTTGTAACCAGAAAATACCAGAATGATGGTACTGAACCAGGGTGAACCATTCCGAATTGCCAGATTCTGTCATATCACTTTCATTATGAACATCTTAAACCCACAGTTGCCCCCAAATTAAGAACTTTCAGAATCGTGGGGGTTAATTGCAGATGTGTTATAGATGTGAAATAGAGAAAAATTATGCTGCATTTAGGGGATGTCATAATTTACCCAAGAATTTGAAGGAATTACTGGCATTTGACTTCAGTTGGTTATATTGTCATATGTTTCAATCAAAAAGATTATAAAGAAGTAGGAGTATATTTCAATGCTAGCAGAATGCTTGTACTTAAATGTTTGGGTAGGTATTTGAGGTTTTCTCTAGGAGTAGAACAGGCCAACTAGGCAACTTGTTAGACTCCAGCACATTTTATCTGGAATATTCATTCAATTAGAAAATGGAAGTGACTGGGAACATTTTTCTCTATAAGGTGATTGAAATTCATAAGGGTGAGGATTATACACATACCCAGCATTCTTTTAACTCATTAAAGATTAAAATAATGTTCAACTAGCTTAAAAAAAAGATTAAAATGATGTTTAGTTTGACTTCATATGTTTATTTCACACTTTGCACCCAGGGTCTGTCATGGTCCTGGGTGATTCCGACCTGCCAACAGCCTTCCTCACAGCCTGTGACCTCTTCCCTCCTCCCCACTTTACCCTTGATGGACATATCCTCGGCTTGTCATCTCCTGGCACGGCTTCTCCTGGGGGTGAAATCATTATTTTGTCATCTCTCTTGAGCTGCAGTCCCTAGTCTATTTCATTTTCTCTTCCTTGGAGGTACCCATACGTGGACTTTTGGGGGGCCTCCTGGCCGTGGATCCCTTGACTTTCACCTTTCCACCTCCTTTCTGCCTTCCCTTCCTTCCTGTCCACCAAGCCCCACGGTGTCCATCACTTCAGCGGGGCCCTGTCAATATCCTCCACTCCTTCTGTCCCCACTGTGTTCCTGGCTCGCCTGCCTGGAAAGCCTGCCTCGCTGCAGCGAGCAGTCTGCCTTGCCTCCAGCCCACACTGGGGCAGCCAGGAGGTGCAGGAGAAGGTCCCACAGCTGCTCAGCTTGCTGCCACCAGCAGTTCAGGCCTTTCACTCTCCCTGGGCTCCTAACAGTCTCAGGAGCTTCTTTTTCATTTCTCGAGTTATTTACTCTGTTTCCGAAGTTTGCTGCAGGCTTCTCTCTGACCCCTGTACATGTTTGTTTCCAGTGCTGTCTGTTCATCTCACACTCCTTGTGCCGTCTCTATGTGGCTCCTCTCCTCGTTGCCAGGAGAATGAAACCCCCACCCCTTCATTTGACCTCTGAGGTGTCCCTGTGACCTGGTTCCCACTTAGCTCCCAGCCTTCTCTGTCCCCTCCTCACTGTCGCACATGATTTGCTAACTGATTTGGAGTGCGTTCAGTCTGGTAAGCACAAGCTCCCTGGGATTGTAGTCCAGAGGACAAGAGAGCAGAGAGCTGCTCTTCCAGGGTGCGATGCTCAGGTTCTTGACGGATGTTTGCACTATTGAAGGGCAGAGGAGGAGGCTTGTGCTTTAGTTCCTTGAAAATTAGTAATTTATATTTAATATACACATAATTCATAAATTATTATTGTTAGATAATTTATTAAGTGGAACACACCAGTTTTTAACTACTCTAATAAAATTAGTGTTATGAAAGAACTAAATAACATGGGGAATATTTGCATTGTTAGATACCTTTAGCTTATTATTAAGTTTCTATAGTTCTCCAGCTCCCTAGTCTCAAAAAAAAAGATGGAATTATATTTACCAAAATGAAAATGATACCCATTCTTTGTTTAAAAATAAAAAAAAGGTATATCACAAAATAAACTTCTGAGTGCAGTTCAGAAAACTTGATTTTTGAAATGTGGTGGTGTTGTCATTGTTGCCCTTACAGAAGAATCATGAAAAAAGTCTTCATGGAGCCATCTGAGCGACTGGCCAGCCTCCAAGCTCTGTGGGACAGCCAGACTGTGGCCGAGCAGGGCCCCTGTGGTGAGCGTGCCTTTTAAAACCAAAAAATAGGGGCCCTTGGATCAGACATCCTCACTATGAGGATTAGGAGAATATGTTGCCTCACCAATTTAGGGACAACGCCCCTTGTCAGCTCTGAAGCAGTTATAGAATGAGAACGACGCCCCTTTTCCCTAGGCAACATAATTCTCCTAAAATTTTCCGAAGTTTGCTGCAGGCTTCTCTCTGACCCCTGTACATGTTTGTTTCCAGTGCTGTCTGTTCATCTCACACTCCTTGTGCCGTCTCTATGTGGCTCCTCTCCTCGTTGCCAGGAGAATGAAACCCCCACCCCTTCATTTGACCTCTGAGGTGTCCCTGTGACCTGGTTCCCACTTAGCTCCCAGCCTTCTCTGTCCCCTCCTCACTGTCGCACATGATTTGCTAACTGATTTGGAGTGCGTTCAGTCTGGTAAGCACAAGCTCCCTGGGATTGTAGTCCAGAGGACAAGAGAGCAGAGAGCTGCTCTTCCAGGGTGCGATGCTCAGGTTCTTGATGGATGTTTGCACTATTGAAGGGCAGAGGAGGAGGCTTGCGCTTTAGTTCCTTGAAAATTAGTAATTTATATTTAATATACACATAATTCATAAATTATTATTGTTAGATAATTTATTAAGTGGAACACACCAGTTTTTAACTACTCTAATAAAATTAGTGTTATGAAAGAACTAAATAACATGGGGAATATTTGCATTGTTAGATACCTTTAGCTTATTATTAAGTTTCTATAGTTCTCCAGCTCCCTAGTCTCAAAAAAAAAGATGGAATTATATTTACCAAAATGAAAATGATACCCATTCTTTGTTTAAAAATAAAAAAAAGGTATATCACAAAATAAACTTCTGAGTGCAGTTCAGAAAACTTGATTTTTGAAATGTGGTGGTGTTGTCATTGTTGCCCTTACAGAAGAATCATGAAAAAAGTCTTCATGGAGCCATCTGAGCGCCTGGCCAGCCTCCAAGCTCTGTGGGACAGCCAGACTGTGGCCGAGCAGGGCCCCTGTGGTGAGCGTGCCTTTTAAAACCAAAAAATAAATGGTTGGATGGATGCCCTTTTGCCAGGAAGCTAAGTCTGTCTATTCCTAGTGTGCTACTGTAAAGGTGCAATTACTTTTAAGGTGTAATTAGCACTGCACAGACTTTAGATTGGTGGACAAACGTCCTATATTTAAGCTGTATTGCATCCTGCTATGTACTTACTATAAAACACGGGGGAGAATTTTTGCTGTTTTCCCCAAACGGAAAGAATAATCAACATTGTTAACGTCGGCCATATTTAAGCTTTTAAATTTTACCTTAAAAATCATTTGGTCGAAAACCTGTCACACTTCTATTGTCTGATTCAGGTGGATTTTCTCAAATGTATGCCTGTGTTTGTGACTGGCTTGGATTTTCATACAGGGAAGAAGTACAATGGGTAAGTGTATGCACGCACACACACTGTCTCACACACACCTGGAGAGTATTCCAATATTTGGCTTATTTCTCCTCTCCTTGCGCGCCCTCCCCCCCATTCATTGCTTGCTTAAAAATCTTCCTTCTTCAGATTATATGAAAATCTGCCTATGTCATTGTCTGATTCTCTTTGTATCTCTCTTGCATCTCTGATCATTTGCCGGGACTATTTACATAATAAATTGTTTCAAATAGGATGTGGATACAATTTATCTGACACAAGACACCAGGGAATTGAATTTACAAGACTTCAGTCATCTTGACCACAGGTAAGCTACTTATTTTTTCTTTCCTTTTTTTCACTCCTGATTGTGCTTTCAGAGCTGACCTTGTCTGTCAGTACTTAACTGTGTTCATTATCTCCAGAGACTCCTTTCCTGAGAGGAATCAGGAGAACCTAAGAATCTCTGAATTTTGCTTTTTCCTGTTTCCGATGTGTTCATTACTATAAAGAGTTTGGAATGGGGGTGCATGAGTGTACCTCAACTTATAAACTGTGGAAACAGTTTAATTCTTGGGTTCGCATGCCAGCCCACAAGTCTATTTAATCTACCCTGTGTATAAATTCTAGTACTATTTTGCCTAATAACCATTTAGAACATTTTTCTATGAGGGAACTTTGTGCTGAAATCCTAACAAATGACTTTTAGTTTACAATTTCTTTCTGTAACCAGGATGGCTAGGGTTTATATGTATATATTGGTGGAAATCAATTTTCCAGTATCTACCTTAATCATAAGGTAGATGTCAACTAATACCTGGTAATAAAACCATGAAATGTGTTACAAGTTATTTGAGAGACTTTAGGTTTTAGGACATTAACTTTAATATATTTAGGACTGTGGTTTGTGCGATCAGACCTCAGAGAACCCCAGAGTACTCCCCCCTTCTCTCTGCAAGGGCAGACTCTGCAAAGTGATTTTGCTCCCTGACAAAGCTGAGAATCTGAGAATTGTAAACCTTCCCCTCCCCTCCCCAGACCTTATCTGGTCATTTATACCCACTTATCTCAATCTTCTCAACCCTAGAGAAGGTGTTACCTATTTTTTTGTGTGTGTCAGTCGCTCAGTTGTGTCCGACTCTTTACGACCCCATGGACTGTAGCCCACCAGGCTCCCCTGTCTATGGGATTCTCTAGGCAAGAATACTGGAGTGGGTTGCCATGGGCAGATATGATAGTCCCATTGGAAGGAATCCCAGCTAAAGAAATCGTTCCTCTCTGTTTGGAATGGAGAGAGAAATCTGAGGCTCCATCTGTATTTTTTGTGTCAGTGGTCCCCAACCTTTTTGGCACTAGGGACCAGTTTTGTGGAAGACAGCAGTTTACCTCCTGCTATATGGCCCAGTTCCTAACAGGCCACAGACCACTCCATGGCCCAGGAGTTGGGGATCCCTGTTTTATGCCATTTGAACAATTGAAATTGTAAAGAGGATGATTGCCTCTTCTTACTGCTGGCATCTAACCTCCAAAATACCAATGCAAATTATTTTGCCACTTACCTGGCAGGAAATCCAGAATTGTAGCAGGGTCCCTGAAGCGTTGTAGCCAACTGAATTGAGTAAAGAAGAAGTATACTGGGTGGATATGACTTACCTCTGCACATCCTGGCCACTGGAGGACAGTGAAGCAAGCCCAGCTGTGTCTGTAGATGTGGCTGAAATGCCTGAAGCCCCGGTTCTCAAGCTTGGATATGACTGTATTTTTGTGGAATGGGCAGTTTTCTCCTGCTTAGAGCCATTCTCCCTCTTCCTATGTTTGCGGAAATGTCATACTCGCCATTTAGGCAAGGTGTTTTCTGTGTAGCTTATGAAAACGTGAACTGAGAAACAAAAAGGGAAGATATTTTACTTTGTATTTTTTCAATAAGAACGGAATAGAACATGTAGACTAAGATTAAAATAGGTAGGCCTACAGTATCCCATCTCCATGTTTTTGGTCCCAGGATCTCTATATATTCTTAAAATGTAGTTGTTTATGTGAGTTTTATCTTTTGGTACTTCTCATATTGGAAATTGAAACTAAAATAAAAAGGTTAAGCCTTTTAAAAATAACATGTTAGCATATAATAAGTTTATGTTAAACCTATTTTATAAAAAAAAGGGTTTTAAAAGTAACTTTTCTGCTAACATAGATACCATTTTTTATAAAAAATAACTAGATTCCATAACAGAAATCAGTCTGCAAGAAAGGTGGCATCAGTTTACCTTTTTGGCAGATGATTTTGATTTCTGACTTAATAGAAGGCAGCTGGATTCTCATATCTGCTGCTGCATTCAGTCTGTTAGGAAAATTTGTTTTGACTGAAGAATTAGGAAGAAAATCAACCATATGCAGATGTGCAGTAAGGATGGAGTATTTTTAATCACCGTTTCACATGATTGCTTGATGTTCTCTTTTGATGCTTTACCACAACTCAGCAAGTGTTGGCATTTGACACCATTATCAGTGAACTTCACTCTTTTAGAAACTATTGGTTTACTGAGTTATGCATCGCAATCAGATATTTCACTGTCATACAATAGTGGGGAGATACAGAGGCATTTTAAAACTATCAACACTGATCTTAAAAAAAAATCTTTAAGAATGGCAAACCTTGTCATGCTCATAGTGGCAGATAAAAGTTTCCCACAATTCAAATTTTTGCTTTAAAGATATAATTTTACTGTTGGAGAAAAGTGCTATCAGGTGATTTCCTTGCAGTGACTGGCTAACTTCTTACATGTTAGAGAAAATATCCACTAACTCCTAAGTCTGAATAACCATACTTTGTCATTTTTTCCATGGTGTTCCATGAGAAGAGAGAGCTAGTTTTGCTAGTAACACTAACATTGAGTGTAAAGAAAATACTTTACATTGAGACAGTTATCACTTTGGTATATAGAGGAAACAGATTGTGTCAACTTCTGTTTTGTTGCATAGAGTATTTAAAAGGCATGTAGTCAGGGGCCAAGATTTAATAAAAAGAGTACTTTTTACTTCTTCATTCAAGGACATTTTTATAAATATTTATTTATTTGGGTGCACCAGGTCTTAGTTGTGGCACGTGGGATCTAGTTCCCTGACCAGGGATCCAACCTGGGCCCTTACATCGGGAGTGTGGAGTCTTAGCCATTGGACCACTAGGGAAGTCCCTCATCAAGATCATTCTTAAAATGATAGTAACCTTCATTTGTGTGGTGGTGAAGGATATAGTGACAACTAGTACAGCTTGATGCTACTGCCTTGGTTTGTGCTAAGGCACCAGAAGCTTTTGCCACCGTTGCTTTTGCACCATCCGTGCAATGTCAACATGTTGGAGTGGACATATTTGTTTTAGTATTAGTATGAAGATTTGTTTGAACTTGTGAACCTCTGAGTGAGTCATGAGGTTCCCGGAGTCTGTGGACCATATTTGGAGAACATCCGGTCTGTAGGAATAAAAACATGTAGGGCAGCCTAAGGTAGTTTCTTCAGATTTTGTTTATTATATCCTTTGTGATTTTTACAGTTAATAGATTATGCATAGCATCAGTGCTAAACTTTCCAGTTAATCCCCTGGGCTTAATTTGGTGATTAAACTACATCTAACTGCTGTGTAGTGTGTGCTTGGTCATGTCCGACTCTCTGTGACCCCAAGGACTGTAGCCTGCCAGGCTCCTCTGTCCATGGAATTTTCCAGGCATGAATACTGGAGTAGGTTGCCATTTCTTTCTCCAGAAACTGTATGTGGAGAAGCTACCAAATACAGTTACTTGAAATATGTAGAGTACTATCCAAATCAAGACTCTTTGTCAAAACTTAGAATTTTCCTGAGTAGATTTTTCCTAATTCCTTAGCTGGAGAATTGTTATCTCACCACTAAATATTGCATTAATGGGGTGAATCTATAGAACTTCCCAGGTGGTACAGTGGTAGAGAATCTTCCAGCCAGGGCAGGAGGTGCAAGAGATGTGGGTTCCATCCCTGGTTTGGGAAGATCCCCTGCAGAAGGAAATGGCAAACCACTCCAGTATTCTTGCCTGGAAAATTCCTTGGTCAGAGGAGCCTGGTGGGCTGTAGTCCATGGGGCTGCAAAGAAATCAGACATGACCGAGCACAAGTCATCCTCTACTTTTCTTACTTGCTTAAGGGCTTGAAGGACTTTCTTTTGTTCCCGAGACTCTTAATTAGAGGTTGGAAACATTTTCTATAGAAGGCCAGATACTAAATGTTTTAGGCTTTTTGAGGCAAACATTCACTATTGCCATTATGCATCACAGCTGATGTAGCTTGAAACAGTCCTAGACACTGTAACTGAATGAGTGTGATTGTGTTTCAGTAAAACTTTGCAAAAATACATGTTGTGGACTGTAGCTTGCTGATTCCTGCTGTAGATGCAGTCTTCTGATGTGGGATGTATATAACCAAAGGAAATGCAAGATGGGCTGCAAAAAACATTATTGTTGACTCCTTCTAAAATTTCTTATCTTAGTTTTATAACATATACAATCACAATTGTATATTTAGTATATAATAACTGAATCTTAAAAATTTAGAGTTCTCAAAGCTTTTTAACCACAGTGAGCTTGTTTAATAAAAATGGAGACCACTGCTCAAGACATCATCTCTCTGGCTAATGCCTAAGTACTTGACTTTTTTCAGAGTTCTGTCTTAATCACTCTGATCATTAAAATTTATGCCCTCTTCTTGAGGATTTGATTTTCCCCCATAGTTCTTACTGTTAAAATTAGAGCCAGCTTCTGTGCAAGAGGTTACTCCCAGTCCTGTTAGATGGCTTGTATTAACAGTATTTTTCTAACCCATGTTGCAACAGATTGTGTTGGATGAACATTTCTCTGTATTAGAATGAGCATACTTACTCATGAAGGAACAGTCTGTACTTAAATGGCACAGTAGTTTGGAAGAATTCATAATGGCAGAATTTGAGTGTGATATGGGTCATTTGAGAGGTTTTGCAAGCCATGTTGGTACTTTTCTCATTTGGGTATGAGTTAGGGAGAAGAGAATGGAGGAATTAGAGGTGCAAGAAGAAAGATTACATGGGTTGTGTGTTCTGGAGTTTGTTAGAAAATAGGAGCAGTAGTTACCAAATGAATCAATGAATTTTCCACTGTGGCAATCAGCTCCCCTGTATCTCTATTTGATCATAATTCAGATACAAATAAGTGGTTTTGTTTACAATTTACATTTATTTAAATGAGATTCTGTATGCTTTTATACATAGCTGCCCCTGAACCTGATCATTCCAGAAGCTGACTTCCTTCTGGAAAGCCATACACCTGTCATACA